CCATCTCAGACGCTATCTTTTTATTATCTTTTTAGCCATCTATTCATTTCTCAAATTAACTTATCTACATCCCTTTTTCTTTTAATGGACAGCAGGGAGAAAAATACAACCTGTGCCCCTATGGTCTTCAATTTATTTCCCAAGCCTTCTTAATTGCTGGCAATGTTTTTTAGGTTCCTTCTGGAAATTGTATGTGGCTACATGAATCATCAGAAATGTGAAATTGTCAGTCAACAAGTATTTATTAAGTGCCTGTTATGTGTCAGGCATTGTGCTAAAAGGCTGGGGATGCAAAGAAAGGCACAAAATAGTCCAATGGGTACCTGGTAACTAAGCATTATATAAAGATTACCTATTGTTGTTATTGTTGTTATTGCTGTTGTTGTTGTTACCATAGTCCTTGCTTTCAGGGAGTTCATAATCTAATGGAGGAGACAACATACAAACAACTACATATAAACAAAACATATGCAGGATAAATTGAAAATAATCACAGAGGGAAGGCCCTATTATTAGAGGAGGATCAGGAAAGGTTTCTTGTAGAAAGTGGGATTTTAGCTGATACTTGAGGGAAGCCAGGGAAGCCAAGAGGCAGAGATGACGAGAGAGAGCAATCTAGGTATGGAGCTCATCTAGTGAAAATCACAGTTCCAGGAGATAGAGTGTCTTGTGCAAGGAAGAGGAAGGAGGCAAGAGTTACTGGACCACAGAGTATGTGGGGAGAAGTAAGGTATAAAAAGACTGGAAAGATAGGAAGGAGCAGGTTATAAAGGGCTATAAAAGCCAGAAGATTTTACACTTCATTCCGGAGATAATAAGGAGTCACTGAAATTGATTAAATAGAAAAGTGATATGGTCAGACGTACGCTTTAGAAAAATCACTTTGACAGCTAAGAGGAGGATGGACTGAAGTGGGGAGAGACTTGAGGCAGAGAGAACAACCAGCAGCTTATTGCCATAGGGCAGGTGTGAGGTGATGATGCCTGCACCAAGATGGCGGCAATGTCTGAGGAGAGAAGGGGGAGTTCTTGGGAGAGTGTCTTATGTATGGGATAAATGTCCAGAGAGACAACAGGTCTCTATTGTTTCTACAAGGTCGACAAATAGTTACCTCAGCATCCCTGAGTAGTAATCACCAATTACTACTTCTCTTCTCCTTCTGCCTTTTAGTGGATGTACCACCCTATGGGCCTGAACATTGTTTTTCAAATTTTTCTTAACTTTCCCCAAATATTGCCCAATTTCTCCTCTTAAATTCAACTTCTGACCTATTTCACTAGTCCAGACCTCTCCAAGTCATCTACATGATTGCCTTCTCCTTATTTGGTTCGTTTCCTTCTCTCTTCGCCCTCAACTCTTTCTCCCTATAAGCCAGAAGTCAAAGATGTAAGGAGAAATCCAATCGATAACCCTAAATAGCTAGAACCCAGAAGAGAATAACAGAGATTGGAATCTCTAAGACCATGAGATGACCAAAAATGTCCAGCAGAGCATAGAGACACAACACTCAGCTGAAATGATCCAGACAGAAAGGGGGCAGGGAGGGAGGGAGACAGAGAGAGATAGGCAGAGACAGAGAGACACAGAGACACAGAGAGAGAGGAGAGAGGGAGGGAGAGACACACAGAGAGACAGAAAGAGATAGACACAGAGAGAGGAGAGAGGGAGAGACAGACAGAGGCAGAGACAGAGAGGAGGGAGGTGATACTTGATAGAGAATAGAGGATAGCATGATAACATCACCTGAGGACACTGGCCAACTGTAGCATCAAAAGCACAAGATACCCTGGACATGAGTGAACCCTGACCCACTTGAATGTGCCTGGCTAAAAGAGTTTCTGCTGTTTGTCCTTTTCATGTACATGTGACCTCTTCCACTGGCAATGTGATAACCTATGGGAAAGTATACCTCATGTGTGTATGTTCTTTTCTTATCACTTTATTTATTTTTCTGTTTTAATAAATGTCTTTTATTTTTATCTAATGTATCTACTGGCTACTAGGCAAAAGGCATAGATATCAGGTGGGACTCATAAGCTATGGCTTTTAACACGTACTGACCCACAAAGCACTTGGAATCTGAGGAAATTAGGGGAGGGGGTATTTGAATGAGAGTACCCCCAGATACTAGAAGGCAACAAGATGGCTCAGTGGACAGAGCACTGAGCCTGGAGTCAAGAAGACCTGAGCTCAAATCTGACCTCAGACATTTACTAGCTGTGTGACCCTGGGCAAGTCACTTAACCTCTATTTGTCTTAATCCACTAGAGAAGAAATTATCAAACCACTCTAGTATCTTTGCCAAGAAAACCCAACGGACAGTATGAATCACAGGTCATGAAGAGTCAGACACAACTCAACAACCCCAGATGCTGCATGTATAAATGACAGCTCTAAGCTGAATCTATGGTTTAGTTATGAAGGAACGAAAATGTCATCTTTTATTTTATCATTGTTCAAATGCCCCAAATATCTGGCCAAATGCATATACTCTCCTGGGTCTTTTTGATTATGTAATTTCTCCCCTAGACATCACAGATTCATGTCTGGAAGGAGTCTCAAGAGACAAAGTCCTTTCCTTCAGCCTAGTGAATAGCTCACACTAGAAATAGTGTGATTTTTTTTAACCAGGCTGACTCTGACAAAGTCTACAGCCCAAACTGTGTGCACTGGTGACAGAAGGTGACAATGAGATGGGAAAATACCTAAGTTGCTCAGGACGGATGAGTCTCTGTGTTCTTTTTAATGATGTCTAGAAAAGGAGACCACCACCACCCCACTCGTTCCAAGGTCATTCTAGCAGGGTATTCAGCCAAATTAACACAGCCAAGTTGATTGGACCAGATTTTTTTTCCTCTCTAGCTACCTGTGCCTGCTACACTTTAAAAATATATATGTGTAAACATTTTCTCCTCATTAGAAAAAAAAAAAGGATGTGTGTGTTTGTTCTTTTAAAATGAATGGTTAAAATAGTTTGCATGAGCTTACGCTAGACAGGCTAATGTCAGAGAATCCACTGTTTTTAAGAATTGCCTTGGCCTGTGGCAGCTAGGTGGTGCAGTGGATAGAGCACCAGCCCTGGATTCAGGAAGACCTGAGTTCAAATCCGGCCTCAGACACATAACACTTACTAGCTGTGTGACCCTGGGCAAGTCGCTTAACCCCATTGCCCAGCCAAAAAAAAAAAAAAAAGAATTGCCTTGGCCAACCGTGGTCACACCTTCACTCTTCTCCCTACTCTGCTCCTGACTCTGCAGACTTCTCCCCCATACCTTAGCAGCCTTCTCACCATGAAAGATCCCTCTGCCCTTTCAGCCCCCTCCTCCAATTGGTAAATTCCTCTAGGAACCTTTATTTTGAGGAAGTACCCAGGCCAGCCATGCTTGCTTCTTCACTCCTCTCCTGATTCTTTGGCTTTTTCCTCAATCCCCCAACATAGGAACCTTCTCCCTTCATTCCTATTTCTTAGCTCTCTTTTATGCATTGTCTTCACTAATTAGAATGTAAGCTCCTTGAGGATAAGCCTATCTTAATTTTTCTTATATTTGTTCTGTGAGTGGTTAGCACTATGCCTAGCACATAGTAAGCACTTAATAAATGTAAGTACTTTAAAGTAAGTACTTAAAAGCATTAATGGATGCTTGTTGACTTCATTTGTTGTTGATGTCTTGATCCTTGCTCAACCTTGTTATTTCTTCCTACCTTGCTGAATTCCTGGCTCCTAGTACTTCCGCTCAATTCTGACAATGGTTAATGAGTAGGCGATCCTCTGTGACCCCAGTTCCAGGACCATGTGAAACCCTAGAAGAAGAACCAGAGGATCACAGAATTATAGAATGTTAGAAAAAGAGGCTTTAGAGATCATCTCATCTAATGTCCCCCATTTTATACGTGAGGGAACTCAGATTTGAGGAGGTTGTGACTTTCCTAAGATCATGTAACTCTGACAAGGTAGAGCTCAAAGCCTCAGAATGCACTGACCCCTGGTCCACCAATTCTGGCACTTACTTCTCAGATCCCCTAACTAGACCCATTTTCACTGTTACCCATTCCCTAGCTATGAATAGGAACATGGAAACAGCCACCAGAAAAAGCATCATAGAAAAGAATACCAACTCTGGTGCCCGAGAACCTGGCCTCCAATCTGATCTCTGATGCTTACTATCAGTGACCTCAGGCAAGACTCCCTTAAGCCTAGGTTTCATCTATAAAATAAAAAGTTTGTGCTCGGTGGCCAATTTGTATCTTTCAGCTCTAGATTTCTAATACTACCATCTTCTGAAATACTCTTGAACCATTTTTTATTCTAGTGGCTCCCCTGTCCCTAAATCTTTTTTGATTAGATCAAGTTTTCTTGGGGGCTTTCTGACGGAAACAATCTCCCATGATGAACAAATTGTAAAATAACCCCCTTTGCATGAAACAGCTACATGTGAGCAACAGTTGCTATCATTCAACCAATCCGGATTCAATCAATCAGCAAGCAACTATTAAGCACCTACTGAGTGCCAAGTAATAATGCTAGGTGGTGGGGATACAAACACACACACAAAAAAATTAAATAGTGCCTTCCCTCAAGAAGTTTACATTCTACAAGAGGAAAACAATATGTGTGTCACTGTGTGGAAACATCTGAAAGGGTTTGGGTTTTCTCAACATCTAAGAGGTTTCTTTGGTCCCATGATTAATTGTGATAATTTCAGCCCTTAGAAAAATATTAAAAGCAAGTTTCTATGTTTAAAAATGAAAGTTCAATTGCTGCTCTGAAATATAAAATATACAACCAGGTTCCCATGTGCACATGAACCACAACAGTATCACCTCCACACTGTGATTCAGAAGTGTTTTGTCTCCTAAAAATCTGATCCACGACCAAATTTTCTTCAAGGTACCCTTCCCCTTCCCACCAATAGTAGGTGGAGTCTGATAAACTCACCCCCACTGAAGTGTCAGTGACTTGGTGGAGAGGAAGTATTTGTATTTTAAAAGCAGAAATTGAAAAAGGTTGAATTGCTTTCAGTGAAATTTCAGCATCACTGGGGAAGATACTTTGAAGCTGAGGAAACATCCCAGCTGCTCAGATCACAGCATGTAAGTAATGTCACATTTGGCCAGCGGGAAGGGTTATCTCTATCTCTAAACCTGCTTCTATGAACAGCAATGTTTCCTTTAAAAAAATAATATTGACTGTGGCTAGTGTTTTCAGTGAAGAGGGGAGGGAGAGAACAACTAGAATCCTTACTACTTACAGGCCCAGAAAAGGCTAAGGAAGTGAAAGCTCTGCTGAAAATATTTTCCTCCCAGACCTTTTATATCACTATGTAGTCAGCTCCCCAAATGGAAACTACCTCTACCAATGCAAAATGGCAACTCATATGTAAATTATGTCTGGAGGGTTTTTAACCTGAACTTTTAAAAGTATTTTTTATTTTCAGTATAATTGTTTTCCTTTATAATATGTATTTTATTTTACGCATTTAGAAGCATTCTGAGAAAGGGTCCATACACTGCCAAAGGGATTCATATCACAATACACAAAAGGTTTTCCCTGTTTTATAGGCTTGCCCAGGGGCACTGAGAGATTATGACTTGCCCGTAGTTACATAGCAGGTTTGTGTCAGAGGTGAAACTTCCCAACCTGACCCCAACTCCAACCATCTACCCACTATACCATAGAATCTTAGACATAGAGAATATCAGAGCTGGAAAGGACCTCAGAGATTATCTAGCCCATTGGTCTCCGTTTTACATATGAAGAAACTGAGGCACAGAAAAGACATGTTACTCACAATTAGCTGGTATCAGAGAAAGCCAGTATGACCTTAAACCATTTTCAGCTTAGAGACAGCATGGTAAATGCACAAAAGCCATGGATGAGTAATTAGGTAGACTAGGTTCTCACTCCAATTGTACAATTAATTTTCTGTCTCCTTGGGAAAGTCATTTCCTCTCTATGGGCATCAGTTTCCTCATCTGTAAAGTGATCTTGAGAAGGAAATGGCAAACCACTCCAATATCTTTGCCAACAAAACCCCAAATGGGGTCACAAAGAGTCAGATACAGCTGAACAACAAAACTAGATAATTTCTAGGAGTATTTCTTGCTCTAAAGTTCTATGACCCCAGGATTGCATATTTTATTGTGACATTAAAAGATAGGGAAGGGGCAGCTAGGTGGCGCAGTGGACAGAGCACTGGCCCTGAAGTCAGGAGTACCTGAGTTCAAATAGCCCTCAGACCAAACACTTGAAACTTACTAGCTGTGTGACCCTGGGCAAGTCACTTAACCCCAAACTGCCTAAAAAAAAAAAAAGATGGGGAGTGATCACAGGCAAGCAGTTGCTATCTGTTGTACTCTAGTACTAAAATTTAGGTCCACTCAGGAAAACTAGATTAAGAATCAGGGAAGTGCATTTTTGTATTCAGCCACTGTGCTGAATACAGAGCATGCACAGAAATGACCAACAAGCAAGCACCTATGTCACTTGCATATAAATCAACACTGTACTAATGATCTCTATTTATCCCATGATCTGAACTTTGTGCTGACATATTAACAGTTGGGTTGATGCTGTAGTTAAATATTCCCTCTCGCTATCACAACGTTTCCCCTGAAATAGATGCTTTGGAATTCTAAGAGACCCATGTTGTCATCAATGTGGGTCTTGTCTCCCCTAGTACAGACCGCAGCTCCTTAACACCTCCATATTGTTCCAGAAATTCTCCATGGAGAATTCACCTAGAGCACTGGAGTCTTTCCTCTGGTTTTTATATCATTTTAGAGGTACAAATGCAGCACTTTGGCAATCCACCTGTTGAATACTGAAAAAGATTTTTTTAAATGGCAGTCATTCAAAGCATTGTTTGCAAATAATCAGGTAACATCCAATTCCATGTGGAGGCAATATCTGACCAAAGCCCCATCTCCCTGTAAGGTCATCTCTGTTTGTTCCACAAGAAACACAATAGAAGAGAGTCATAAAGAACAAAAGAAGGAAAAAAGACTGGACTGGATATCTTTTTTTTTCCCAACAGACCTCAAATTAAATGAAGTCTATGAAATTTTAAATACATTCTGGGGTTTGCTGAGAACCATGCTTAGAAACAAAGAACAGGAAATGGATGGAGGACCAGTGAGAGACAAATGAAGCAACAGATTTGGGTTGACAGAAGAGAAAAGACTTAGATGAGTTACTTATTTTACTAACAAGTTATCCTCCATATGAAATGCTCTGGGTTTGGGATTGATTCTTTTGTTGTTGTGTTTGTGTTCTTTATTTTTGGTTTTATCTCCCCCGTTCCAAAACCAACTGAACTTTTCTATCCTAGAAGGCATCCCAGCCAGTCAAGCAGCAAGTTTGTATTTCTTATTCAGAAAGCAATGTTCTGGCTTACCTCTTTGAGGGGCTCACACTTTCAATATTTCATATGCAAATCTCCAGCTCCTGTATCTGGTTTAATTTGCTCTACTGAGCACAGTCTCCAGTGATAAAAACAGCTCAGCTTTGAGGTTCCTGTTTCACTCTAGAAAGGACAAAATTTTCCATTTGCAAAAAAATTATTCTTTCCATGTTGCTTTGTTTTCTTGGTGCACCTATTATGTGTAGGCATGATAATAATAGCTAATAATAGTTAACACTCATATAGTGCTTACTATGTGCCAAGCACTGTGCTAAGCACTTTACAATTATTATCTCATTTGATCCTCACAAAAACCCTGGGAGGTAGGTGTTATTATTATCCCCATTTTACAGTTAAGAAAGCTGAGATAAATAGAGATTATGTGACTTACCCCGGGTCACGTAGCTAGTTATAAGTGTGTGTGCCTCTATTTGAACTCAGCTAAATCTCAAGTCCAGAATTCAATGCACTGTGCTATCTCACTATCAGGGAGAGACTTTATTTATTTATTGTCTAGTTCAACCACACTTTTTTACAGAGGAGGAAACTGTGGCCCAGAGATGGGAAGAGACTCACCCAAGGCTACATAGTATAAATAGCCATGTACTATGAATTAGGAGACATGGGTTATGGTTTAGGCTAGGAAGTAAGAGAATTTCACACCCTGGAATAGGCTGAGTATAGGCCAGAGGTGGATATGCACAAGGTATATTAGGGAACAGTGAAGAGACCTGCCTGGTTAAAGTAGGGCTTAGGTAAGGAGGAGAGAAAGATAAATTTGGATGGTAGCTTAGGGTCAGATCCATCACTATGTCTAGTGATGGCCCTTGAGCCTTGAATATAAAGAATTAGGAATGTAAAGATTAGGAGCTTGGACTGTTTTGTAGGCATTAGGTAGTTATTGTAGATTTCATCAAGAATCCTTGATGAAAGCCAAGTTAATTCTAGAAAACATATTGGAGTCTGAATTTCTAGTTTGTCCTACTTTGAAAATGATATTATTTGTAAAGAAAAGTGACTAGTCTTTCCATGCCTTTTGATTTAGCAATTCCACCAGAAGGCATATACCCCAAAAAAGTACTAAATAGAAACAAGACCAATGATGGGGGAGTGGCTGAAAAAATATGACATATAAATGTAATGGAGTTTTACTAAAGCACTAGAAATAACAGATAAGAATTTAGAGAAACATAGGAAGATTTCTATGAACTGATGTAGAGTGGAATAAGCAGAACCAAAAGAACAATATTCATGATGATGACAACAATGTAAATGAAAAGCTCACTAAAAGAAAGTCCAATTCTGAGGAAGTGAAAATCAAGAAAATCCCAGAGAATAAGTAATAAAAAATTCTTCCCTCTTCCCCATGGCTTTGAGATAAAGGCTTATGCAGAGGTAGGGTACCTGTGGCCTTCTAGGTCCTCAAGTATGGCTCTTTGACTGAATCCAAACTTCACAGAACAGAACTGGATTTGCTTTGTGAAGTTTGGATTCAGTCAAAGGGCCTCACTTGTGGACCTAGAGGGCCGCATGTGGTTCCAAGGCCTCAGGTTCCCCATCCCTGAACTATGGGGACATTCTATCCACTGTCAGATGGTTTCACTGTAGCACCTTTTTGCTTAATTGCTTTTCTTCATAAAATGGAGGGAGGCTTTAATTGTCAAGTGTAGAAGAGTCTGTTAAATTGACTGTCATTAGGACAAAATATATCAACAAAATGATGCTCTTTTTAAGAGAAAGAGGGAGGACTATGTTATTATCTATCACAGTCATCAACAATTACATTTTCATGGAGTGGAGTTTAACTGTCCAGGGCTTCTGTAGGGGCATGGTAATGAAAGGGTTTGTTTGTATCTGTGGGGGCACTAGAGAAGTTTATGTGTGTGTAAGAGAGAGGGGTGAATGTCTTGGTATTCCTTTATTACCACTTGGGTTCCACTATTTGAATCATCTCGCTATCTCAAAGGTTATCTAGTTGCCATGGCAACAATACTACTTTAAAATAAAGCAAAATCCTCCCTCCCTATCCCTATTCTTTGCTACCTCTTCTGTCTCCTTGGGAGGGCTGGCTCATAGCTTAATCATATGCCTGTCACTAGGTTCAGAGAGGACTTAGAAGTACCCATGTCACCTGTACCCTCCACTCCACCCCCTTGCCCATAGCAAAGGAACAGGGGTAGTACAAAGAAGGAGGTTTAAAAAAGAAATCCATCTCCTCTGAGGATGAGCACCAGGAGGTAAAGCTTGGTTAGGTCAGTCCCCAGAGGAGAACAGGGGAGAATAAGTTTCAAAAGCATTGTTTTTTCATTCACATCCTCAACCAAACTATGTGCAGCAGAAAGAGGCAGAGGAGACGGAGGTGATGGTTTTCCCAGTACTCCTTGGAAAGGAATAGAGACACAATGTGGAATGGCCAGTCAACTGGAACACAGTGTGCGCAACATTGACAAGCTAGAATGTGTCCAGAGGAAAACAACTGAAATGGTGAGGAGTTTAGAAATCATGTTAGATGAGGAGAAATCGAAAGAACTGAGGCTATTTAGCCAAGAGAGGGAGATTTTTAAGGGGAAAAGGATAGCTTTTTTCTAACATCTAAAAAGTTGTCATGAGGAAGAAGGAGCAGATATGTGATGTGATGTTCCATAAATCGGGATGAAGGATGGATATTATAAAAATGCAGATTAGGGTTTGATATAAAGAAGAACCTAGGCTAATGAGCAGAAATGCTTGGGAACCTCTGAATGGGGTTAGAATGTCACCAAATGGACCTTAGAATATAGACTATCAGAACTGGAAGAAACTTTAGGGATAATATGCTAGGACATAGAATTTCCAGATTAGGATGGACCTTAGAACACAGAATCCTAGAGCTGGCAGTAACCCTAAAGATGAGCTGACAGCATACAATTACATCTGAAAAATCTAATAGAATTTGAGGCTGCATTAACAGAGGCATGGTATAACAGGGGTTCTTAAACTTGGATCCATGGACTATAGATAGGTAGATTGACAGACACATACATACTACATATATACATAGTTATAGTTTCATATAAATATCCATATATAGTCATATTGTACTTATATGTATAGTAATACAGTTTTACATATAATATATATAGATGTGTACAACTACAATATAATCCTTTTCCTTTATAATTTATGCATTTTATTTTATTCATTTAAAAACAGTATTCTGAGAAGAGTCTATAGGTTTCAGAAGACTACCAAAAAAGTCCAGGACATGCAAAAAAGTGAAGAACACTTGGGTAAAGAATGCTGGAGGTGACAGTCCCATTCTTCTGCTCTAGTCAGACCTCATCTCTGGTATTTTATTCAGCAGTAGGGAATCACATTTAGAAAGGGTACTGACAAACCAAAGTAAAAACAGAGAAAGATGAATAGCACACTGGAAGCCATACTGCATGCTGCCACACCACGCAATGCCAACAAGCGCTGCCAGAAACCACCTCGGCTCAGAATCAAGGCTATTGTATGTTATGAATTGCAGTGTTTTTTACTGTACATACAAAACTTTCTGCTCTTACAGAAACATAATAGTTTAGTTACAGAAAATAAAGACTTTTAATGTTTTCCTACCATCATTCCTCAGCATGTAAATGTCAAATTAGTATATCTTTGGACTGTATTGTGTCAGAATGTTTTATTTTTTAAATTGCTGTTATCTACTTCTTTTATAGAAACATAAGTGTTTAATTGCAGCAAGTAAAGACTAATCCCTTTAATAATATTTCTCCATCATCACCACTATATGTGTATGTGTGAACATTCATTTTTTAAATTAAGCATAAACAAATGTAATTTAATAAACTAAAGTTAGTATTTATTCGAGAAATCATTAGCTATATTAATTTATATTTTAGGACACAAATATTTTTGTTATGGATAAGTGGCTAAATTTAGACAGAAGAGGTAAAAATACTGATGACAATGTGGCAGAGTCTTTGCTACCAGGTTGTAGTCCACCTAAATTGACAAGAAAAAGAAAATATGTCAAATCTTTTTTGCAATGTGGATTTACTTCTAATAAGGATGATGTGTACAAAAATCTTTTTGCTTAATTTATAATGAAGTTTTGGCCGTGGAGAGCATGACACAAGGCAAACTAAAATGACATCTTAATGCCAAGCATGCAGCATACTGCAATAAACCAAAGGAATATTTTGAATGACTTTTAAATTCTTCAAATAAAGAAAAAACAATGTTTTGAGAAATTTGTTACTGTCAACAAAAAGTATTTACTTGCATCTTATGAAACTTCTTATTTAATTGCAAAAACTAAAAAGCCCTACATGATAGAAGATCTTGTGTTACCTGCTGCTATTAAAATGTCACAAATAGCTCATGGGAAAAAGTATGGGGATGAAATTTGTAAAATTCCTTTATCGAATAATGCTATTTCCAAAAGAATTTCTGAAATTAGTCATGACCAATTCCAGAAGCTTATTACTAGGCTTAAGGGCAGCCCAAAGTTAGTAATCCCATTAGATGAAACAACTGATATTTTTAACATGGCATAGTTGTTACTTTATGTAAGATATGTTTATGTAGGAAGCATACATGAGGAACTATTGTTTTGTTGCCCTTTAGAAGGGCACACAAGAGGGGAAGATATATATGATAAAGTTGACAAATTTTTCACAAATGAAGGTTTACAGTGGAAAAATTGCATTGGAACCTGTACAGATGGTGCTGGAGCAATGACAGGAAAGAAGATAAGATTTGTAGCAAAATTTAAAACTGGTGGCAAAGAATACATCATTTTTATTCACTGCATGATACGTTGGAACACACTCATAGACAAAAAAAAAACACCAGTGTTAGATGCTGTGCTTCACAATACTTTCAAAATCATTAACTTCATTAAAAGCCATGCCCTTAACAATCATTTGCTTTCAAACCTTTGGAAAGACATGGACCTTTATTACAAAAGCTTATTACCACATGCAGAGGTAAGGTGGTTCTTAAGAGGGCAAAGTTTACACAGATTATTGAAATTGAAAGATGAAGTTCTTATATTTCTGACTGAGCAGAAATCCAATTTTGTTAATATTTTTCATAATGACTTATGGCTTTCAAAACTGTGTTATTTGTCAGATATTCTCAAAAAAACTCAATGATTTAAATATGTCACTTCAAGTGAAAAATTGTAACATTTATGTTAAAAGGTAAAATTGAAAGTTTTACTAAAAAAAGTTAACATATGGAAAAATAGGGTGGAAATGGTTCTTTAGAAATGTTTACAGCTACAGATGATTTTATAATTGAAAATAACCTTCCCAAAGATTTAATTTTAACAGTTATAATTGATTATCTGAAGTGCCTGGAGAAACAGTTTCAGAAATACCTTCAAATTTTTATTCTAAAAAACTAAGTTGGGTTCATAAATCATACTCAATTAAAGCAAAAAATTTCAGTCATCTGCCACTAAAAATTCAAGAAGAATTTGCCAAGTTATCAAGTGACAGGTTTAAAACTTGAGTTTCCTTAAAAAATCATTAAATGAATTTTGGCTTGAGATTAGGACAGAATTTCCAACAATTTCTGAAATGGCTCGAAAGATGCTTCTCCCATTTTATACTATGTACTCATGCAAAGCGGCGTTTTCAGCATTGGTAATTATAAAATCAAAATATCAATCAACTCTGAAAAATGTTGAAGATGTTCTATGTCCTGCAGTATCAAATATTCCACCAAGATTCAATTCTATATATAAAAATAAACAAGTATATCTATCCCATTAGTATGCAAATTTGCTTTCCTCATTAATGAATGGTAATAATTATATGTATACCAAAAATTATTTTAAAATTAATTTCTTTATGATTTATTATCAGTAAGTGTTTGATTTGTGTACATATTTTATATACCTATATACCCAGGATTGCGTAAAAATTTCTCTGGTAAAAAGGGGTGACAAGTGGAAAAAGTTTAAGAAGCCCAAGTCTAGATGACCACTGGTCAAGGGTATGTAATGGGAATGCCTCTTCAAGTATAAATCAAGCTGGATGACCTTTGACCTCTGAGGTCCATTTCAACTCTACTGTTCTATGATACTGTGAGGTCATCTTAATTCTGCACCAAATAGCTGATCCCCCTGGAAGAGGAGGGGGAATAAACCCCTTAAATCCACCAGAAGCCTAGCAGCCCCCAAGGCTAACTACTGAATCCTACTGACTAAGTCACTTTCTCTTTCTTTTCTGAGAGATGATTCCACTATAGATCTTTATTTTTTTGGAAGGAGAATTTTTATGGGTCAGGAGATGATCTGGAAAGCAGAGCTGAGGTGTGCAGAAAAGATGACCACTCTCCAAAGGACTTTTCCTTTCAAATTCCACAACAATCACCTGCCACCAATCAGCGTAGGAAATTCTGATTAAAAGCAAATGATAAGGCATACTTGGACCTGGGACATTTTTCCCATGAATATCTCCCCCTGAAAGTTCCTGGTTTCCTAAAGGGTCAGTCTTCTTACTAAGAGAAGCATGGTATGGTGGGAAGCCCACTAAAGGACACCACTACTCTTCCAGGCACCCTCAGTTGCAACCTCAAAGTCATCCTTTATTGTTCATTCCCCTTCACCCCACACAGCAAATCAATCACCAAGTTTTGTTGATTTTAACTCCACAACTCCCTTTGCATCTGTTTCCTTCACCCCATTCACATAACCAGCACCCCAGTTCAAATCCTCATCACCTCTGAACCAGATTATTGCAATGTACTAATTGTCCTTTCAAGTCCTTTCTCTCTTTACTTGATCCTCTCTACAATTGCCAAAGTAATTTTCCTAAAGCACACATCTGACTAAGTCACTTTGCTGCTCATTGAATTCCAGTAGCTCCCTATTACCTCTAGGATCAAACACAGACTTCTATTTGGCATTTAAAACCTTTCACACTGTTTCTAACCTACCTCTGTCTGCCTTATTATACATGATTCCCCTTCACATCCCTTACAATCCAACCAAACTGGCTTTGTTACTGTTCTTTATACACCATACAGCTAGATGGTGCTGTGAATAGAGCTCTAGAGTCAGGAAGACTCCTCTTCCTGAGTTCAAATCTGACCTCAGACACTTACTAGCTGTGTGACCTTGGGCGAGTCACTTAACCCTGTTTGTCTCCATTTCCTTATCTGAAAAATGAGGTGGAAAAGGAAATAGAAAACCACTCCAGTATCTTTGCAAAGAAAACCTCAAAAGGGGTCACAAAGAGTCAAACATGACTGAAAAATAACTGAACAACAAAATACACAATACTCAGTCTCTCATCTCCATTGCTTTGCTTTCTCGATACCTAGAATGAATTTCCTCCTCATCTCTGCCACTTAGAATCCTTGGCTTCACTTAGAGACCTTCAGTTCAAGGGCCAACGGCATGAGTCCATTCCTATATGCCTCAACTATTGGTGCTTGTCCCTCAAAAATGACATTTTATTTATTTTACATTTATTTTGTAAATAAAAGACATAAATACACACACATATATATGTATGTGTGTGTGTGTATATATATATGTGTGTATATATGTATGTGTGTGTGTATATATATATGTGTGTATATGTGTATGTGTGTGTGTGTGTGTATATATGTGTGTGTATATATATGTGTGTGTGTATATATATATAATATATATGTATGTATGTATGTATGTATTATACACACACATTATCTTCCCTGATGAAATGTAAGCTCTTTTATCACAGGCACCATTTCATTTTTGCTTTTGTATATCGCTAGCCCATAGCACAATACCTGTGCTATGTGTCTGTGTCCTTGGTACCTTTAATAAATACTGATTTATTGTCAGAGTCAGGAGACCTCATTCTGAATCCTAGCTTTGAGCAAATTATTTAACTTCTCTAATGCTCAGTTTCCTCACTTGAAGTTAATAATATTTATGATATCAACCTTGAGGGGGAGTATGGTGTCATGGATATTTGTTCAAATTTTCAGTGCTCCCTGGCCAATCTTGGAGGCTCTAAGTTACAGAAGATGAGCTGCCAATCTGCCTCAGTGGTGAGAATTTCTACACCAGAAGTTGCTTACAGAATAAAATCACAAGCATGGATCAAAAACAAACAGACCCATCCACAGGACTATTTGGAAGAAAACACTTTGTAAACTGGAAAATGCCATATAATGATGAGCTATTATTCTTTGACCTGGATGGAGTAGTCCAAAGGCTGAGTGAGTGATGCTTCATTCACCCTTCTTTTTAAAAGTAATCCAGCCCATAGCTAAGCCTTTCTTGAACCTGTCATACTTTATCTCACTCACAGGGTAATGAAAGCCATGTGGCATTATGCAGGTCAGTCAGGTAGTCAATAAACATTTATTAAGCACCTATTATGTGCTAAATGGGGGCAGCTAGGTGGTGCAGTAGATACAGCACTAGGCTTGGAATCAGGAAGACTCAGCTTCAGAGTTCAAATCCAATCTCAGTCTGGATTTGTTAGGTGACCCTGGGCCAGTGACTTAATCCTGTTTGCCTCAACTCCTCATCTGTAAATAGTGAGCTGGAG